CAAAAACACACACGCACAAAAACACACACACACACACACACACACACACACAAACACACAGCGCACAAAAACACCACACACACACACACACCACACACACATCACACACACCACACACACACACAAAAAAAAAACACACACGCCAAAACACACCACACACCACACACACACCACCACACACACACACAAACACACACGCACAAAAAACACACACGCACAAAAACACAACACCACACACACACACACACAAAAAAAACACACACACAAAACACACACACACAAAAACACACGCACAAAACACACACACACACACACACACACACAACACACACACGCACAAAAACACACACACCACACACACACACACACAAAAACACAACGCACAAAAACACACACGCACAAAAACACACAGCACAAAACACACACGCACAAAACACACACGCACAAAAACACACACGCACAAACACACAAACGCACAAAACACACACGCACAAAACACACCCAAAAGCACACACACACACACACACAAAAACACACACACACACCACACACAACAACAAAACACACACAAAAACACACACAAAAACACACACAAAAACACACACAAAAACACACACAAAAACACACACAAAAACACACACAAAAACACACACAAAAACACACACAAAAACGCACACAAAAACACACACAAAAACACACACAAAAACACACACAAAAACACACACAAAAACACACACAAACACAAAAACACACACAAACACAAAAACAAACACACACACACACACACACACACACACACACACACACACACACAAAAAAAAACACACACACACACACACAAACACAAAAACACACACACACACACACACACACACACACACACACACAAAATGCACACTCGTCCACTGACACCCCAAAACCCACCCAAAACCCCAAACCCCACGGCAAACCTCTAAAAGCACCAAGGGTGGGTTCTCTAAATTATGGTCCCTTTTGGGGTCGTTAAGGCTGCCCCTTATTTAGGATACCCAAAAAAACGGGACACCAATTTAAGGAACTCACCATATAAAATCCCTATGCTCCCAAATCCCTCAAACCCCATAAGCTCCTGAGGTCCAAAGACGCCCTAAACCCTAAACCCTAAACCCTAAACCCTAAACCCTAAACCCTAAACCCTAAACCCTTAACCCTTAACCCTTAACCCTTAACCCTTAACCCTTAACCCTTAAACCCAACCCTAAACCCTAAACCCCTGCAACCCTAAACCCTAAACCCCTGCAACCATCCTTGGGATTGGCCTTCTGCAGAAAAGATGTGGCCTGCGCCTGCTGAGGTTACGAAGCGCAAGGCCCGAGGTAGGGTTTTAAGGGCTTGAGGGTTTAGGGTTTAGGGTTTAGGGAGTTTAGAGAGGATTTAGGGTTTACCTGGGGCTCTATTTACCTACAGTTCAGTATAGCAACTACCCTTAAAGAGCAGGTATCACCCGGAAAAACTGCAGGTAAAAAGGGTCCCAGGTAGGGAGCTTGGAGTGCTTCGGGGGGCTGGAGGGGGCTTCAGCTTTCGTGTGGTACCGAAGTTGGGGGCTTCGCATACTACCCAAACCCCATGCCCTAAACCACACGCCCTAAACCCTAAACCCCAAACCCCAAACCCTAAACCCTAAACCCTAAACTAGGCTTCACGGTTTAGGGCTTGGGGTAAGAAAGGACTAAAGAGACTCAAGAGGGAGGGCTCTCCTTTCTTGCGCCGAAGGGGGTCTCTGGTCTCCTGAAAGGGAAGAAGGGCCGACTCGCTCTAGAAGACATGAAGCCCTAAGCCCTAAACCCTAAACTCTAAACCCTAAACCCTAAACCCTAAACCCTGAACCCTGAACCCTAAACTGCCTTGTTGTAGAAATCGGCGAGGCTTGCGAGAGCCTGCGACGACCAGCAGGTGTCAGGCTTTCGGGGTTTAGGGTTCAGGGAAGGGAAGCAAACCAAGGGTTTAGGATGTCGGGCTTCGGGTTTAGGGCTTGGGTTCCAAATCTCTTCCCCCCCCCCCCCCCCCCCAAAAAAAAAAAGGTAAAAAACAAAAAAAAGACACCAAACAACCCCCGCCCCCGCCCCGCCTAGTCCAGTCCATCCCCCTGCCTTGGGAACCCAATTTATGAACCCCTAAATTGGGGTTTAGGGTGTAGGGTTTAGGGTTTAGGGTTTAGGGTTTAGGGTTTAGGGTTTAGGGTTTAGGAATCTCAACCCTAAACCTACGTTAACAAGGCAAGCAGGTGTTCGCCACATGTGCAAGGCGACTTGGGCCCATGGCCCAGAACAACGAAGCAACTAGGCTCACAAAGGGTACTTGCAGGTTCAGGGTACGCATAACCCCCAATTATAGCTGCACTTGTAAGCCCCCCCTGAGTCTGAGTAGGTTGTACGTAGACTTATCATTGTGGTACTAAGTACTCATGACTTGGGTTGTGGGCTAAACCCTGAACCCTAAACCCTAACCCCTAAACCCTAAACCCCTAACCCTAATATCCTCCCCTCCTAAACCCTAAACCAAACCGCAGCCCCAAACCCTAAGCTCGGCCTTCTTCAGCAGGTCTTGGGTCAACCGCTGCTCCTTGACGACCTTCTGAAACTCGGCGTTCTCCTGCAAAAAGGCAACGACGAGTGGCTTCGGCTGACTTCACATCCTCAAAACCCTTAAATAACCCTTGAATCACCCTGAAGTCACCCTTAAATTACCTTTAAACCCTAAACCCTAAACCCTAAACCCACCCTAAACCCTAAACCCTAAACAAGCCTTAGAAGCCCTAAAGACCCTGCAAACCCTACGGGCCCTGAACTCTAAACCCCATCAGCCCTAAACCCTTGCTGTCTGGGCACGCGCTTCTTGCATTCTGCACCCCTCCACCCCACGCAAAGCCCCAAAACCATCAAGGGTTTCGGGTTTAGGGTTTAGGGTTTAGGGTTTAGGGTTCTGGGTTTAGGGTTTAGGGTTTAGGATTCGGGGGTTAAGGACGGCCTACAAAGCCCAAAAGGCCTGGATACCTGAACTCAAACCAATTGCGGCTGCTGTCGCGCTCGTGGCCTTTTTTGTCCTCACTTCCGCAGGAGGCGCGTGGCGCTGGACGCCCTCTTTATCCGGGAAGACCTCAACCCGAAACCCTAAACCCTCAACCCTAAACCCGAAACCCGAAACCCTAGACCCTGACACCCTAAACCCTAAACCCTAAACCCCAAACCCGAAACCCGAAACCCCAAACCCTAAACTTCATCCCTGGGTCGCGCCGCCGTTTTCGCCTTCTTGGCAGCCTTGGGGGTAGCTAGGGTTTAGGGCTTAGGGTTTAGGGTTTAGGGTTTGGGGTTTAGGGTTTAGGGTTTAGGGTTTAGGGGTTAAGGGGCTGGGGGTTACGAGCCTTTCTAGACTCCTGCAGTTCGGGACCATGAT